AATTTATACTGATATTGTCACGTACAAAAACCACAGGAACTCTTGAGTTCTCACTCTTCTGGCGGTGACAATGTTTCGTTGCCGGCTGCTATACAGGGAGAAATGGGTAGGTTCAATTTTGGTTTATATGGGCGCCAGAAGCGGGAATAACAACGAAAGTTGTAGATACTGCTCTTGCTTCAGGGAGCAGGATGTATACCTATAGTTATCTCGAAGAAGGCGATACTCACACACACACACAACGCAACACGCCCCGCGTCGACACGCGCGCACGCACACCCTCACACACACACACACCCTCACAACACATGTTAGTGGGACTAAGCACCAAATAGTGTAACTAATACGTAAGTAATTGAATGCAACCAAAAATTTAAATGAAATATAACCTTAAATTATACATAACCTCCAAAATGACAAGTATTTATCTTGTTTATCATAAGTATAAAAAAAACTTCGTTAAACACAAAAAAACGACACGGTGAAAGTGAGCGAAGAAAAAGAATGAAGGAACAAGAGGAGATAGGTAAGATAGGATAGAGGCTCGACAAATGAATTCCCTTCCTTTATTTTATTTGACCACCGTGACGATGTAACGGAGACGGCACAACAATTACAGCCTGACCTTTGCCGGAGAGTGTAGCTTGCCAATACATCGCGTGCATCACGTGATCAAAAAACAGCTGTCAAATCGCTCGTAGGACAAACATACCCTCATTTCATACAGGTTAATATACTATTAAGGAAAAAATTGGAAAATAAACTGAAGAATAAACTTGCGTACGGCAACATAAAACGTTTAAAGTAATTTAATATAGTGTAGCAAGTGTAGTGTAGTAATTATATAGACATAAAAAGTACTTTGAAGGCTTAGGACAATATGCCCAACTTTTGCGCTGTTGCTCAATGTGGCAGTAGAAGTAATAGAGACAAAGTGTCGTTTTTTCGTTTTCCTTCCATATATGACAACAACAAAAAGGTCGATCCTAGAAAAGAACGTAGACGAGAAGCTTGGATATTAGCAACGAGAAGAACAGATCTCACGGACAGTAAATTAAAGTACCAAATGATTTGCTCAAGACATTTTTTGGAAGGTATGTTATTTAGACATTAGCTAAATTTGTTAACTGTGAGAGGTAGAACTATTTGGAAAAGGAACAACAACACGCCAGTAAAAAATAAGAATACTTTGTTAAAAGCATATGACTTACAATGTGTGAAATGTGTCGAAAACAGATTGTTGTTTCCTTTTCTAGTTGGTCTGCTGGAAATATCACGTTACAAAAAAAGTAATAAGACCGTTAATTTGTAGGAAAACCTGCAAAATTAAGTGATGAGAACCATCCAGATTGGATACCATCACAGAATATGGGTTACGACAAACGAAAAGCGAGTATGGAAAGATATAATAGATCCAAGAAACGCATAAAACAAGTAATTGGCACTTTGCAGGTATGTTTTGGCTGTTACCTCTCTAATCTATTTATTTTAAAGGAATCCATTCAGGAACCCCTACTTAACATGGAAATTGCCACTCATTCGGCAGAAGTTTTTGATAATCTAACATCCACACTGGAAACAACTGAATGTACAAACGTAACAGAAAAGGATTTGGAGTATGGATTATTAAAAGCAAATGAAGAGATATACAGACTTCGAAAGGAATTGTCAGTTCATAAATTTAGTATGAGTGATATGAAGGATGATGCAAAATGTAAATTTTATACGGGACTCTCTTTTGAGGTTTTAGAAATTGTTTTTCAACTTGTAGAGCCTTACATAATGATAACGCCTAACACAACTTTATCTAAATTTGAACAAGTAATATTAACACTAATGAAATTACGTTTAAACTTATTATTTACTGATTTAGGTTACCGTTTTAACATATCTCGTTCCACTTGTGGAAGAATATTTAAAAATGT